TACCTGCACGAACCTGGTTGGTGGATTGAGGAAGAAGGGAGGAGGAGGTGCAGGTGAGGGGAGCCAAAGGAGGAGGGTACGTGTGTTTTACGGCTACACCCATCCTAGTCTCTCTCTCTCTCCCTCGTCCCTCACCTTCCTCCAGCCAGCCACAAAAAAAAAAAAAAAAAAAAAAAAAAAAAAAAACGTAAAAGTTCCAAAATGCCTCGATGCTCGCACCAGCCCGGCATGTACGCCTTGAAGTGACCACTTTCCAGCTCCTAGCCTCAGCAACTCGCCAGTGTCGTCAGTCTGACCCCGGCCTTGGCGTGGGAAGGGCGGAACTGACCATGTCTCGTCAAAGAGAGGCTGCAGGAGCGCCCAATCACCATCATTAAGCAGCAGATAGTTGCCCTCCACCACCACCACTCGCACGCTGTGGCACGGGGAAGGAAGGGAGAGAGAGAGGGAGTGAGCGTGCCAGGTCAACTGAGTGAGTCTTGAGTCTTGAGCTTTAAGCAGTTCAGTGGCCATCATTAAGCAGCAGATAGTTGCCCTCCACCACCACCACTTGCACACTGAGGGATGGGGAAGGAAGGGAGAGAGAGAGGGAGTGAGCATGCCAGGTCAACTGAGTGAGTCTTGAGTCTTGAGCTTTAAGCGGTTCAGTGGCCATCATTAAGCAGCAGATAGTTGCCCTCCACCACCACCACTCGCACGCTGTGGCGCAGGGAAGGAAGGGAGAGAGAGAGGGAGTGAGCGTGCCAGGTCAACTGAGTGAGTCTTGAGTCTTGAGCTTTAAGCGGTTCAGTGGCCATCATTAAGCAGCAGATAGTTGCCCTCCACCACCACCACTCGCACGCTGTGGCGCAGGGAAGGAAGGGAGAGAGAGAGGGAGTGAGCGTGCCAGGTCAACTGAGTGAGTCTTGAGTCTTGAGCTTTAAGCGGTTCAGTGGCCATCATTAAGCAGCAGATAGTTGCCCTCCACCACCACCACTCGCACGCTGTGGCACGGGAAGGGAGAGAGGGAGAGATGCGGAGAGCGACTCAAGCACACAGACAGACCATCATGGAACAGCAGAGCAATACATCGGTGCGGTGCGGTGAGGTGCGGTGGGGTGAGGTGTGGTGAGGTGTGGTGAGGTGCGGTGTGGAGCAGTGTGGAGTGGCAGGCATGGGTAGGGCGACAAGGAGGTGGGCACAAAGAGGCATGCGGACCTGGGGGGTATGGGGATGTCATTGGGGACCGGGTCTCCTACTCCATGGTCAAATGAAGGCAGAGACACAGTACCCTGGGAAACACAGTATACAGAGGGATTGGGTCGGACAGGGAGACCCAAGGGGTCTGACATTTGAGACGCAAGTACACTCGCTACTTTTGCCTGGCATATACCTTGATCACGGAAGATGGGAATGGTACATGCGGAAGATGGGAATGGTACATGCGGAAGAGAACCCATGAGTTAAGGACCGGGGGGGAACAGGGAACGGAGGGAAGAGTAGAGGAAGGGAGGGTCAAATCACAGTCTCGCTTGCCGTGGTAACAGTGAATTGGAAGGAAGAGTGAAGGCATGAGGTGTGGGTTAGAAGGAGGAGAGGAGGAGAAGGGAGTGCAAACACCTGGTCCTTAAGAGTTTGAAGGCAGTCCACTAGTGATGCAGGGTCGAACGTCCAGGGGGCTGGTGCAGAGAGGAGAAGGAGAACGGATGGTGAGATGCGCAAGTTAGCGATCATGTGTGAGCAGGGGTGTAGAAGAGCAATAATACGAGGTTCAACGTTGTGCATAATGGGATTAGGGAACATGACACAGGTAACTATAGAGAAGCGCGATCAAGGCGACCAGACAGGGAACGAAACAATGGGCTGGAAAAAGGCGTCATTCACTGGATGCGTGCCTCCTCGCCGTGCATGGGCCTCCTTGGGGTCCTGCCATGGCATGCCAGCAAATTGGGTTCACACAGGAGGAGGAAAACTTTACACAGGCATGTGTGAAAGGCCGTGAGCCCATGAGACTTTGGTGCGGTGGTGCACATATGCCATGCTAACGCAGGAATGGATGCAGCAGATTCAGGCGACAGCAACTTGGGAAAGATAATCTTGCTACATTCACGAAAAATTGGGCCGCAATTTACAGAAATTTAAGCAAGTGTACATGCAAGACCCCCGGGCCCCATCCATCTTGCGTGCTCTCACTCACATCCATGGCATCCAACTGCCATCTGTACAGATGAAACCCATCCATGGGCGCCACCGCTGCCACATCATCACCACCCGCACCCGCACCCGCAGCAGCACCAGATGCAGCAGCAGCAGCAATAGCATCAGCATCGGCAGCAGTGGTGTGGCGCAGAGCATGGCGCCATGCGTGGTTGACTCGGTCAACCACGGCCTGGGACACCGTTGACTTTCCCGCACCCGGTGGCCCCGCCAGCGCTACCAGAAACCTGAAGCAATGGGTTGGACATAAATGCATGCGTGCACGGATGGGTGGCAACGAGGACGGAACCTGGATGCATGCATGGATGGGTGCGAGATGGGCGCATTGTTACGCAGTGTGTGAATGACGAATGCAGCATAGATGAATGATACATACATGATGAGTACATGTCGGATGCATGAGGGACACATACAGCATGCATAAACGCATGCAGGCATGGTGCGGGCTCACTTGTTGGGGGGGGTGGTGGCACGAGCAGCAGCGAGCAGTCTGTGAGCGAGGGAGTCGTACACATCGTCCATGCTCGTGCAATCCACCACCACGGCCGATGCTGATGCCGCTGATGGTGCTGAAGACAACTGCGACTGTGATAGTGATTGCGAGGAGAGAATTGACGATGATGATGCGGAGGAGGAGGTGGAGTCTTGAGTCGTCTCGGACGATGAACTGCTGTCGCTTGAAGCTGCTGCTCTCCGCACACCGCAACCGCCCATCCCCTTCCCACGCCACTGCTGCTGCCGCCGTGCCTGCAACTGCTGCAGCCATTGCAGCTGACCCGGTGCCAAACCCGCTCCGTTCGCCTGCTTCCTAAATTGCCCGTGTGGTCGTGGTTTCAGTCGTGCGTGCGGTCTCGCGGCAACGATCCCAGAAAATCCGCAAACAACATGCGGGACCGCTGGACGTAAAGAAAAAACGAGGTTTGCAGAAAAAATACGAGAAATTCAGGGTTATTATTCAATTCGACGGGGAGGCCGGAACGAAGTTAATTCCTGAAACGAAAACGCGAGTGGCATGTTGTCATCATGGGGTACGCGAAAAACCCCTGCCGTCAGTCACGGGACCAGACGATGACCAGCTGGAGCTGGACTGCGGACCCGACAATCGCACCTGGCTGGCGACGGCTGTACGGGGTGCACGACGTGGGTACGACAACGGCCGTCGCCATCCTCGACGCAAGCAGCCCTTTATTACCTGCCGCCGTGACTGTGTTTCAAGCGCGGGCGACGCAGATGACTCAGACGACGCCCAGTACTTAGTTTTGAGTGCGTGTGATGCAGCCTTGAAGGTGGAATCTGGGACAGGGTGCTGCCCACATTCACCAATTCACCCAATCGAACATCCAGAATTTGTGAAATTGTGAAACTCTGTTTAATACATTTGTATCAATGCAGCGAACGTTACCGAGCCGGCGAGCATCGAAACTTCAGTCGTGGCCAATCCCTGCCACACACTGCCTGGATCGACGGATCTCTCTCATCGTTACCGCCGTTTCCAATCAATTACTCCGCGACAGTCTCTTCGGACGAATTGACTTGACACAACCCCTCAACCAGCTGTTTCACGGCGCACGTCGCAGGTGGTTTGCCCGTTCGTCCATCGCATACCCTAATCTGGATGGCGAGGATGCGAAGCGACGCAATCACACAACAATCCGATGACGTTGGCGAAACGACATTTTTTCAAGGGCCAGAAGCTAGGGCGAACGACGCTGTCGCGATACGGACGGAACAACCCAGCGAAACTCGCAAACTCCGAGAAACTCTTCGCTTATCTGACAAATGCAACAAATCCCTTGAGATTGGGAGCCACTTCTGTGGCAGCTACAAAACGGGCATTTGTTCCCACCAACCCTAGAGGACCGTTTCTAGGAGCCATCAAGGCTGCATATGCACCAAGACAAATAGAACCACACAAGACGCTGGTGGTGAAACCAGCCTTCTGAGTGAATCGCGGGAATCGCCTGAGCGTCGTTATTCCCGCAGACGTAGGACGCCGGCCGGTTGCCGAAGGGCAGAGGCTGCTGAGGTATGAGGCTTCTTGTCATTAAGACCGCTGCGTATCGGTGACGAGGGGGAGCTCGTCGAAACTACCTTGTAGGAGATAGATGCAGATTACGCAAAGGTGTTTTTTCCGGTAGTGCTGGGAACGTGCCGGGAGCAGTTTCGCGTGGTGCCGCCGATTACGGCGGATAGAGAAGGCATTACTGCAGGGAGACGTTATTTATGCGACGCTGGTAGCGCGGGACGACATGGAGACACGACGTGGGTGCGGATAGCGGCGATTTGACATTCCTCCGCGTTGCTAGTAGCACACCAGATCGAAGCGCACAGACTTCTATCTAGGCACCTTAGACCGCTTTGATAGCACAGGGTGACACTGCAGAGTCGAGCCGCAGAAAGGCGACATTGACGGAAAGTTTCGCCTTCTCTGGGCCATCCGCGTATTTCATTATCGTGCTGTGCTACCCGCGCAGTCTGCTCACTTTGGCCGTCCAGCAAAGCAGATCACCTGAGTCCATCCGGACCGTCGATTCAGTAACCGCGTGCACACTGAGACCTGATCGTCGTGCAGCAGTCTCGCAGCATCGCGTCTCGCCGCTGCTGATCGCGTCGGCCGTCCATTCCATTTTACCCCACCCCCATCGCACTCTCCCTCCTCTGACAGTCACTGCACGTGCTTCACACCTGCGCTTACACCAGCCAATCGCTCCGGCGAGTGGCAGTTAATTTGCGACACACACCCTCCAGCGGTCGCGGACCGCAACTTCTGCGTCTGACTTGTACTCATCCCCGAGGCGCCACCCATGGACCCCTCCCAGTCTTTGCTGCAGCGCGCCAAGTCGCGGCGGCAACCGGACGAAGCGCAGCAGCTGCTGCCCACGTGCCCCATGGTGTACGCGATAATAGACGAAGCGAGTCTAGAAGAAGCCGCCGCTGCCAACGCCGCCGCCAACGCTGCCGCAGCCGTCGCCGCCGCCGCAGCAGCTGCTGCTGGTGGTGTCTCTGCCGGTTCCCCACGCTCCACTGATGGTTCTGTTGGGGGGGCAGCGGTGGGGGGAGGGGGGAGCGTAGGATCAGCGGGGTCTTTAAGAGGGTTGGGCGAAGGTGGATTGAGTTTCGGAACGGGGAGTGGGAGGTCCGCGAAGCAATCATGGGATCTAAGTAGCGACGGAGGCAGTGGGAGGAGAGCGGGAGGGGGAGCAGGGATAGGAGGAGTAGAACGGGCGGCGGTGCTGCGTGCTCAGATGTCCTCGTTATCGCTAGCGGTGGAGTGCTTGTTGAATACAGCCGTGGTCACTTTAGAAGGCACGTGGACCGTGTCCTCCAATGGCATTGCGCCACGTTGCGAGTGGCTGTTCGCGCTGCCCATAAACCACAAGGTCAGCGTTTCGTCAGTCGAGGTGGTTACCACCGACTCGCATTTCTTCACCACTGCCATTGTAACTAAGGAAGAGGCAGAATCAGCAGCCGCCTCTTCCTCCCACCCCCACCCGCACCCCCACGACCCTTCTCCCCATCACCACCACACCTCATCCACCTCCTCCTCCTCGTCGTCCTCCTCCTCTGTCTCGTCCTTCCTTGCAAGAGTAGGCTCAGGCAGACTAGGCTCAGGAGCGGGCGGAAGCGGCGGGGGAGGCGAGAGAAGCAGCAGCGGCGGAGGGGGGCTGCTAAAGAGACTAAGCAGCGGCAAGTCAACAGCCGACGGCACAGGAACCAGCCTGGACGCTCCAGATCAAAGCGGAGGGCTACTAGGCGGGAAAGGCGGCGCCATGGATTTCGCCATGCTGGGTCCCGCAGGGGAAGGGCTGCAGAAAGCAGGCGTGCTGTTGCAGGAGGGCGGCGAGTTCAACCCAGCCATGTTCCGCATGAGGCTGCCGGCTGTGGAGGAGGGCACACAGGTGAAGGTGCGGGTATCGTATGTGGAGACGATGGGCGTGCGCGCAGGGTACTATGAGGTGGTGGTGCCGCTGGTGGTGCCGGAAGCGGTGGTGCCGAGTCATCTGGAGTTGGTGGAGGTGGTGCAGGTCAGCTGCGCTATTAACAGTGGCCATACCAGGCCGCTCAAAGTCGGGGATTTCAACCATCCCATGAAGGTACGCACGCGGTGATGTGGGGATGTTGTGGGGATGTGGGGATGTGCGGCTGCTGTGGGAATGTGGGGTTGCATACATTAACTCCATGAGGGTTTCACGGTCACCCGGAGCTGGCCACAAGCCATGCCACTCATCTACCAGACCCTCCAGCCAACCCATTTCTTCGTCCTGCACCCCTTCTCTCCGCCCACCAGGTGATGTTTGTGGAGCTAGGCCGGGCGTCCTTCACAGGCTTCCCCGCCAGCACCACGCCTGATGGCAAGCCGTGTGTATGGCCCAACGCTGACTTCGTCCTCTCCTACCAGGTGGGTGGGTACTGCGTATGCATGCACTTCTGTACAGGTAAAATTGATGTACGTACTGTACAGGTAAGTCTCGGGCATCAACAGCATGCCCTTCTGCTATGCCCCTCCTCTCGGAGCTCCTGAATTGAATCCACCCTCCCATCTCCCCCTGCACTTCTCCCCCCCCCCCCTGTGTGACGTGTGTGCATGCCCCGTGCCATGGAGCATCAGGTGGTGTGTGTGAGGACGCTTTTCAACGCGGCGCCTCAAAACACGGCTTCTGATGCGCCTCATTCCATCCCCTCCCTCCCTCCCTCCCTCTCGTCGTGCATCCTTCATACCCATGTGGAGCATCAGGTGGTATGTGAGGACGTGGCAGCGGCCATGCTAGTGCAGGCACCATACGAGGAGGACCCCGACACACGAGCCATCTTCTGCCTCTCCGTCTGCCCCCCCGACCCCTGCCAACTGCCGGTCAGTACCTCCTCCCTTCATCCCTTCCTCCCTTTTGCCCAACCTTAACATACCTCCCCGTTCCACCGTTCCCCTTCACTTTGTATTCTCCATCTCCCCGAAAACGGATTCCTCTGTCAGGCCACCCCGCACATGTGTACCCTCTTGCAGGCTGGCAGGCAGACAGCGGTGTTCTTCTCTTCCATCTCATGCAACAGCTCCCTGCCACCACCACCACCTCCTGGCTCTCTGTGTGTATGTGCGTGCATGGGTGCGTGCATGGGTGCGTGCATGGGTGCATGCATGGGTGTGTGCATGGGTGTGTGCATGGGTGTGTGCATGGGTGCGTGCGTGGGTGCGTGCATGGGTGCGTGTGCACGGGAATGCACATGCATTGACAGGTGTACGGGCGGGCAGTGGTGTTCATTCTCGACAGCCACAACGCCATGCGCGGGCGCGCAATGGAGGAGGCTCGGCGCGCAGTCATGGCGGCGCTCAAGCGGCTGAGCCCGGCGGACAGCTTTGGCATCATAGCGTTTGACTACGAGCTGCTGGTGTTCGCCGAGGCCATGGAGAGCGCCACTGCAGAGGCCGTGAAAAAGGCGAGCAAGTTCGTGCTGCAGGCGTATGATACTGACGAGGCCTGCAACATTCTCTCGCCTCTGCAGCTGGTGGGTTGGTGGGTTGGTGCACGTGGGACGGTGGAGTTGGGGAGGGTGCAGGTGGGAGGGTGCACGTGCACGTGCACTGCCAGCCATGCCATGCGAACCCATTGACTTCTCTTCAAAAGGCTATCTGTAGCTCGTAAGGTGCGGGTGGCAATGTGCGGGTGGCAATGTGCAGGCCATTTCATCTGCTCCTCCTCTTCCCACTCCTCCCCAATCCTCCCCGCTCCTCCCACTGACTCTATCCATGTGTTGTACGGTGGCCGTGGCATGTGGCAGGCGTTGAAGATGCTCAAGGGAGTGAGGGGCATGTTACCGCAGATAGTGCTGTTGAGCGATGCAGCGGTGGAGGACGAGCGCTCCATCTGCTGCTACCTGCAGGAGGCGCTGCTTGAGTGGGGACCCAACGCCCCCCGCATCTTCACCTGTGGCATTGGTATGCTGCTGCTGCACTGCGCTGCCCCTGCGCTGCCTTGGCTCTGCTTTGCGCTGTTTTGTGTTCTCCGCTCTACCTTTCACCATCATTTTCTCTTTCTTTTTCCTTTTCTCCCTGTTTCCCCACTTTCTCGCGCTGCTCTCACACTTCCCACCTGTGCGCGCCCCGCACACCTGGCAGGTCCCAGCTGCAGCTACTACTTCCTGCGCTGGATAGCAGGTGTCAGCCGAGGGGCCACTGAGTTCGCCTTCACTGCTGGTACGCCCCGCGCTGCACTGTAATGCACCGCACTTTGTCGCACTACTCTGTGCTGCACTGTACTGTGCTCTCATACCTAGCGCTTTTCTTAGCCTCCCACCCTCCCTCCCTCCCTTCCACAATCCATTGCCTCCCTCACTCTGATAACCTTACCTTAACCTACCTCTCCTATCTTTCGTCCGCGCTCTCCTCCTCCCCACTCCTTGCCTCGTGGTCAGACGAGGTGCGGAAAAAGGTGGAGCGGCTGCTGTTGGCAGTGTCCCGTCCTCTTATCACCAACATCACCATCAGAGACATGCCCGCCGGCTTCCAGGTACTTTCCCCAGCTTCCCTTACTCCCCCCATACTGCTCTCACGGTTTTCCCTCAGGTACTTCCCACCCTTGCCTTGCCCTGCCTTTCCCTGCCTCCCTTCCCCTGCCTCCCTTCCCCTGCCTCCCTTCCCCTGCCTCCCGCCTGCGTCCACCTCTTGCACTAAGTTGCCATATACGCTTATGGCGTATATACGCTTATCGTATATACGCTAGCGTATGCACGCTATCCGCTTAAGGGGTCACTTTGGCCATACGCTATTTCGGGCAGTGAAAAACATTTTCCGGGCAGGGGGAAAAAAGCTCGAGGGATGTTTGAGGGGGGGTATGTTGGGGGTTTAGGCTGTGTGAATTTTTTTTCCCAATAATATGATTCCGACACGATGCGGCCATGCTACAATAATGCTCTCCTACCACCACGGCTAAGACATGAGAACATAAACCAGCCTCCCCGCAACATTCCACATGCCCCCCCGCACCTTAGGCCTTGTTCTATGCATACTCGTCTTCCAGCACGTCATCCTCGCCTTCCTCCTCCACCTCCGTCTCATCCAACCCGTTGTAGCCCTCGGGGATAGGAGACTCGTCCCCAATCCCTGGCACAAGGTTCGGCATTACATCTGCGCGCGAGTGCCAGTTGCGCACAACATTCCAGTTGTGTGCAACAAAAACCAGGTCTTGGCACTTTGCAGATCCGAGACGGTTTCGGCGGGCTGTGTGGACTGCATCCCAAGTTCCCCACCCACGCTCACAAGGGGATGCCGATACAGGCTGAGAGAGCACCCTCACGGCGAGAGACATCGGGTGAGGTGCATCTGTGCCGTTCCACTGCCACCACTTCACCATGCTGTATTTACCCGCTTTCACCTTCTCCCTTTGTGCAAGCGCCTCCGGCATCCCGAAACTTCCTTTCAGGTCCAAGAAAGCCCTCAGCCCGTCACCCAAGGCAAGCAAGTAATTAACACCCTCCTCCCTCCCCTTCCCGTCGTGGCCGATGAGGAACTCCACGTGCTGGTTGATAAATGCATTGAAAACCCAGGTGCATTCGGCGTCGCTGCCGAAGATGTCCTCCTCCTGGTTGGCGGGGTTGAGGATTCGGTTAGCAACGTGCATGGCGCAGGCGAGGTTGTTATCCCAACGGTTCTTGATGATGCGACGGATCTGCACCTTGTCCGTGCTACTCAGCTGCTGCTCATCCTCGTCCAAGAGGTTGTTGACATCCTCCGTAAGCTGCAGCATTACATCGTAAAGCCGGCCCATCATCCCCTTGGCATCTGCGTCCGTCTGCCGCATCGCCTTGTAGGGCAGTTTCATCAGCTTGCAAAAGAATTCAGCCGTCCGCCGCCATGCGGCATCGAGGACCCGAGCAGCAAAGGTCTCGGCAGCTTCCTTCCGCGACCCCACGGCCCACTCCTCCCACCTGTCGGTAAGTACCATCGCGTTCAGGGTGCTACGCAACTCACAAAGGCGGGACATAGCAATGTACTGTGTCCCGAACCGTGTTCCCACCGGTTTCAGCGGCTGCAGCACCTTCCCCTCCACCAACTCCGGGGTCCTCACGTAAGCGCGCTTCCAATGATGGTTGCGCACGAACGAAATCATCTCCCCAGTCCGATCCACCACCCCTTTTGCCCACCCCATCTTTCCCACATCCTCCTGGAGATCCATCACATGCGTGGCACAAGGGACCTGCTGAATGTGGGGCTACTTGGCAATCAGCTCCTGGACAGCCACGGCATAGTTCGATCCCCCATCCATACAAAACGCGACCACATTTTCTGGTCCTACCTCCTCCACCATCGGCTGCAGAATCCCCGCTACGTATCCCCCCGTCTTACGCTCCACGCCGCAGTCGATCGCCTCCTTGAAGACGGCGCCGGAGTCGTTAATCAGAAGGACGTTCGCTTGCGCCCTCCCACATTTGCCCGTCATCATGTCGGACGCAATTGTTACCCCCGTCTTCTTCCAGCTCGTTTTAATTCCCATCAGCCCCTGCTCAATCCTTTTGTGGACAGCGACTAGTCCAGCCCCGCCAATGAAGCTCCTCTTGGGGGGGACGTAGCCGGGGCCGGCGCGGTTGACGAGCAGCGGGTGGTTTATGGTGATCTCCGGGATTCTGCAGGCCGCAAACATCAGCGTAAGGCCCTCGTGAGCATCCCGCTTAGCCGCAGCAGCATCTCCCTCCAAGTAGTCGGTTATGCGCCGCTTCCCACCGCCAGCCAAGACCGCCGCAACCGCAGCAGATGTTGCTCGGCGCTTTTCCTCGTTCGCGGCAGCCAGCTTTTCGTATTTGGTGCGCATCTCCTTGCGTACGTCTTGCGGTGCCTCCTTGCAAAGCGTCACCTCGCGACGCTTCATTCCCTTCCACGAGCTCAGGTGCTGCGCGCAACGAATGGCTGCACCGGTGAAAACATTGAAGCAGTACTTACACTCGTACTGCTGTGCTTTGCCTTCAACTCGCTTAATGATGCTGAAATGTTTGAAGAGAGCGTGGTCCATGTCGGGAAGGTACTCCCTACCCTCAGGTCGAACACTCCGGGAACTCTGCACTGTCTGAACGGATGGCGGTGTGCATGGCGGGCTAGACATAATGAACGAGACGGGAAACTGATGAATTGCGTAGTTGCGTGCAACCAACTAAATAGCACAACGAGAGAAGGGAACATTGAGACAAGTGGTTGGAGAGAGTAGATGGGTGGGGATTGAATGCGGTAACAAACAGAGCGCACAATGTGTGAACGTGAAAATGCGACTTGTAAAATTGACACCACCAATCGCGCCTATGTGGGTTGAACCCACGTCCACGATTGGACAAGTCAAGTACGTGCAATTCGCCTTCGGCAAAATGCACGCCGTGAAATTCCGCATCTTTCCGTATATTCAAAAAAATTTCCGCCCGGGCTGCCCCAAAACAAATTTGTCGAGCGTATAGCGGATTCGCTTGCGTATAGCGTGTTGCGTGTATACGCAAGCAGATATCCGCTAAACGCAAACAGGTCTGAGCGTTTTTTGCAACTTAGCTCTTGCAGCAAACTTTATCTTGTTGTCACTCTAGCCAAACAGCCTTAAGCCACCTCGAACCCGTCTTATCCCGCATCCCCTCCCCGACATCCCACTCTCCATCCCCTCTCTCCCTCTCCACACCCCTCTCCCCCTTCCTCCCCTCCTCCCACTCCCACCAGCTGGTGCCATTCCCCATCCCCGACCTGTATGCAGCATGTCTTTAAAGCCAACCAAAATGTCTTCCCCCACTTCTCCACAACCCCATTTTTCCCCCTTTCCTCCCCACGTTCCCCACTCCTACCAGCTAGTGCCATTCCCCATCCCCGACCTGTATGCAGCATGTCCGGTGGCGGTGTCAGGGCGGCTGGATGGAGACGTGCCTCTAGCATTGGAGCTAAGAGGCGTGCGTGCCAACGGGGCCCCCTGGAAGGCCAAGGTGCCTGTTGTTGAGGCCGCCACTCTGCCACTCTCCACTGTAAGCTGTGGGATGGAGTGGGATGAGGTGAGATGGGGTGGGTTGATGCGATGCTGTGCGCTGCTGTGTTGTGCCCTTATTATTATTTCTACTCCCTTCTTCTCTTTCTCAGTTTTTAGTCTCCACTTCCTTCTTCTCTTTTTTTTCTGGTTACAATCTCCACTCCCCTTTCTCCCGCCATCTCGCCCCCATGACACACAACACCAGGTGGGCATACGGGAGCACACGGACCTGATGACAGCAGATGCATGGCTGCAGCGCGACCCCGACCTCGAGCGAGGGGTGAGCGCTCTCATCTCATGCCCACGTGCTCACGCACGCACGCACGCACGCACTGTTGAGATTGAGAATACTCAAAAGTGGGTTTCGAAACGAGCGCTCATGCTGATACACTGTGCTGTGCCCATGGGTTCTGCTGCCATGGTTGCAGGCTGTAGCAGCATGTAGGCATGGGATGGAATTTAGGTTATGGCTGTTGCATGTGCGGATCCATGCATGGGGATGGGATGTGGTGCTGTGATGGTGGCTGTGTTTGCAGGAGTATAGGAACCTGAATGATCTACCAAATGGCATATCATATACCCTGAATCCTCCTGCCATTTTCCATCATAATCATCTCCCTCTCCTCCTCCCTCTCCTCTTCCCATACGCCCCACGCCAACCCCCCCCCCATGCCCTGCCACTCTCCTCCGTGTGGCACCACCACCACGACCATCAACGGCACCACCAGGTGGCGCGCATGAGTCAGACGGTGTGTGTGCCCAGCCACTTCACGCGCATGGTGCTTTTCGAAACCAACCGAGCCAGCTACGATGCGCTGCAGCACGACCGCATACAGGTGCCACCTCCCTTCCCTTCCTCAACCCCACCACACTCCTTGCCCTTTGCCCGGATGCCGCCTTTCCTCCTTGTCTTCTTTTCACTGGATCAATCACTCATCTGACATCTATCATTCAACACTTCATCCGCCGTTCCCTCACCACCCGCACTGCCAACAGGGCAAGGATCTCAAAGTCCGAACCTACACCGACCCTCCCTCCGCGCCTGTTTCCATAGTCCCGAGCCTCGTTATAGGCCTGGGGGGGCCAGCAGTGGCGCAGAAGCAGACGAGCCAGCAGCAGCAAGAGCAGCAGCAGCGAGGTCCAGGGGGCCTGCTGGGGGAGGTGTTGGAGGAGGATGAGGAGGAAGAGGAAGGGGAGCTGCTGCAGAGCAGACAGGGGAAACCACTGGGGCTCCTGGGATCAATTATGTCGTGTTACCGGCCCAACGCTGCTCCTGGGTCCAAAAAGAGATGATGACGATGATTGGGGGAAGGGGTGGGTGGAAGGTGAGAGAAGGAAGTGGCATGGAGTGATGGATGGGTGGCACAGGACAGGTGGTGGCGGGCTGACACTGGGAAAAACGGGTGGAACTATTATGGCAAGGATGCTAATTTATAAATGAAAAAATGCAGTAGCTCATTCTCTAGGGTACTAGGCATGTGTATGTGCTGGGATATAGATCGATGGGCACACATGGTAACAATCCGCTGTTTCAGAAATGCGCATGTCTGATCCCCCGCATCTTTGTAGGTAAGGTATGCGTCATTGTGGTTATATGTATATGACTTAGTTCCGGGCTATCATGTTTACAGAGTGCTAGGATGTAAGAAGTAAAATTCGTTTGTTTGTAAAAGGTTTTTTCCAATATTGAGTACCCACCTTTCATGAGCCATCCCTCCTAAAACCCCGTCGCTAGAACCATTTCTATGACCTTTCTGGAACAGCAACACGCGTAGATCGGATTCCTCGCGCCGCCCCATACGCGTCAGCATTCGCCCGAGCCGGGTCGTCCTTGCCGCATCTCTCGCGTAACACCCCGTTAATGATTTAACCTTGGAATCTCGATCCTCCTCAGCTGGCCACGTGGCTTGTGCCGTGCCTTGTACACACCTCAGTCTGAAGCATGGCCTCCTCATTTCAAATGTTGACGTCACGCGGAGGTGCCGCGCAAATGGCGCTCGCAGGTTGGCCCCATCGTGTGACGACTGCTGCTGCAACGAAGCTAGTGCAGCTCCCCGGTTTGCGCCAACGGGGGGGTCTCCGCCCATGCTTCCGCCGCAACGGCGCGCGGCGCAGAGAAAGATCCCGGCGGGTGGCGGTAGCGGCCGCTGACAGCGAGGGGGCAGACGGGGGCGGAGAATCGGCGGAAACGGAGGAGTCCTCTCCCGCGCTTGCCGCAGGGGCGGAAGCAGGCAAGGGCGAAGGAAGCAACATCATCAGCAGCATTAGTAGCAACATCAGCAGCGGCAGCGAGAGCGAGAGCGGCGGCGATGCGGAGTCGAGGGAGTGGGAGGGCGATCTACAGTACATGATGTCGTGGCAATGGGATGACGTGGTGCGCTTCTGGCGCGCGAGTGGCGCGTCGGAGGATCAGATCACGTCGGAGGAGTTCGAGTCGCTGCGCGAGTGGTGGAGCACGAGCGCGCGGTACTGGCAGCGCGACGGCCGGCTGGACGGCAAAACCCTCTGGGACGTCGTTGAGATGCTGCGCCGCTGGGAGCTGGACGGGTGGTTTAGGGTTTTCGAAACGGCCATGAGTCCGGAGATGGAGTTTGCTTTAGAATCGGTGGTGGAGGGGAAGGAGGAGACGTTTGTGGGGGAGGAGTGGATGGATCGACTCACTCCGCGCGGGATCCGCGAGGCCAATGAGCGCAGGCTGACGGGGGATACGGGCGCGCGCGGGCTGCTGGGCGCAGGGGACGCGGGGGTGGTTGACGTGGGCGGGGGAGCGGGGGACGTGGCGGTTGAAGGGGAGGGGGAGGGAGAAGGGGATGTGAGTGAGGAGGAGAGGAAGGGTGTGGAGCAGCGGTGGAGGGAGATGATGGAGGAATCGATGGTGCGGGTGTTGCAGGGCCAGACCACCATGGCCAACGGCGCTGCTGGTGCTGCTGGTGAGAGTGGTGAAGGTAACACTGGCGGCAGTAGTGGCGGCAGTGGCAGCACGAGGCGCGTGAGGAGCAACAAGTGGGTGGGGACGCGGCCGGGGGACCTGCCCTCGCTGACGCACCGCCCGCCCCGTGATTGGCCGCCGCCAGGCTGGCAGGTGGACGCGGATGAGCTGGCAGTGATTCACGGCGCGGCAGGGGGGGAGAAGGGGGGCGGTAGAGGGGGCGAGGCGGGTGCGGAGGAGGAGGAGAGGGTGAGGGAGGAGCGGTGGGGGGTGTTTATGAAGCAGTACGAGGCATGGGCGCAGGCGAACAAGGAGATCTTGGATGAAGAAGCTGCTGTTGTGAGTCATGCCATCCCACGCCACGCCATGCCATGCCATAGCCATGCCATTCAATGCCATGCCGTGTCTTGCCATGCTGTGTGAGTGCGGGCATGGTGTGCGTCTGCGTCCGTCCTTCCACTCAAGCTCATCTCTTCCCATTCATGTCTGTCTGCATTACCGTGTGTGTGCACTTTTGGGGGTTGGCGGTTGTGGGTGGGTGGCTGCCATGAGTGAGATTGTGGTTTCGTGAATGGATGTATGGTAATTCATGGGTGCATGCATCATGGGTGCATGCATCATGGGTGCATGGGTGCATGGATGCATGGGTGCATGGATGCATGGGTGCATGGGTGCATGGATGCATGGGTGCATGGGTGCATGGATGCATGGGTGCATGGATGCATGGGTGCATGGGTGCATGGATGCATGGGTGCATGGATGCATGGGTGCATGGATGCATGGGTGCATGGATGCATGGGTGCATGGATGCATGGGTGCATGGATGCATGGGTGCATGGATGCATGGGTGCATGGATGCATGGGTGCATGGATGCATGGGTGCATGGATGCATGGGTGCATGGGTGCATGGATGCATGGGTGCATGGATGCATGGGTGCATGGATGCATGGATGCATGGGTGCATGGGTGCATGGATGCGTGGGTGCATGGCGGTCACACCCCATGGCATGCAGGCGGACCCAATATACTTCCCAGGGCGCAGGAAGACAGGCAACAAGTACCGCCCAGGACTCGTATGCACCTTCCCTTCCCCATCGCTCTCCTTTTTACTCTCCCTCCATCCTACCCTCCCTCCCTCATTCCCTCCATGCCTTGCCCTTTTCCTCTTTCCACCCGCTCTCAGTGATTGTTGTCCTCCTCGGTATCCCTTGCATCGTTCACTTGCCGCAGAGCCTTGTTTCATGCGTCTGGCTCCTGTGAACTTGTGCCCTTGTTGTACCCGTGGTGCTCCTTCTTCCTCACCCCCATTCGCCTCTTTCTATTCCCTCCTCTCCCCCTCTTCCCTCTCTTTTCGTCATATCCTCTACTCCTTCCTACTCTCCGTCTCTCTTCCCCCCCTTCGCCCCCACACACATACGCTTGCACACCCTCACCCCCACCCACACCCCTCTTTCCCCACCCCCACCTCCCTCCTGGGGCAGTACGAGCTACCGTTTGTGGAGGCGGGGCAGGTGTATGCAGGGCGGGTGACGACCATCAACCTCAACGAGGGCTGCTTCATCGATATCGGCGCCGTGCATGACGGGTGCGCATCTCCCCCCCTCCCCCCCTGCATGCTGCCAAAAGCCACCACATGCCACCCTGCGCTGGTTGCTGTCCTCTCTGATCTGATCTGGTCTGATCTGATCTGATCTGATCTGATCTGATCTGATCCGCCTGCATGCCACTTCCCGGTCTCAGCATCACCCCCTGTCCGTGACGTGGCAAGTGGGTGTCGTGTCCATCTACAATGACAACTGCTATGAACTGTGGCAGGTGCTCATCGTGAATTCTTGAAACGTCCCAAAAGCTCTCTCATTTTCCCCTCCCTCTCCCCCCTCGTGTGCATGGTGGCAGGTGGGTGCCAATCTACAACGACGACTGGTACGAACTGCGGCAGGTGCTGAGCATTGGCACGCCCGTGCTCGTGGAGGTCACGGCCAAGCGCGACCCCTTTCGATTCCGCTTCCCCATTGAGCTGCGCCTGCTCAACCCCGACGTGGATGACATGATGTATGTGATATGAGATGTTGTGGGATGACTGAACATGTGGGATACACGGCAGCAAAGGGTGCCGCTTGCACCTCGCGAGGGGAAAGCACATGCAAAGCCTCATTGGCACCTGCAGCACAGCACCATCCGCATTCCCAGCCTACTTCCTACAACCCATCGTGCCTTTTCCACTCTCCCATCTGCACCGTGTGCTATCCCCATTCTCCCTTTCTCCTCTCCCGCGTTCTCTCGCACCCCGTCTTCCCCCCCTCAGCTTCCGGCGCCAGCGCTACCCCCCACATGCGCCCATCTTCTCCCGTGACGGTGACTTCAACCTCAATGAACTCGCTGTGAGTCACTCCACTCCCCCCCCCTTCCCTTCTCTTCCCCCCACCATCCTCTCGCTTCCCTTCCCCCGTCTTCCTTCTCCCCCCTTTTCTTCCCGTCCTCTTCTCTCCATTACCCTTCCTTCCCCACTCCCCTCTCCCCTCCCCTCTCCCTTCACCCGCTTTCACAAGCACCACGGTTCTCTAGAACAATTAAAGCCAACATCCAACCCAGCTGCCCATGCTCCTTCTTACGCCACACCCCCATCCTCTATCAATCCCCATCCCCACCCACCTCCCCCCAACCCTCCACTTCCCGTTTGTAACCGACCCCAACTCCTGCTTTTCCACCCCCGCTTTTTACACCTCCCGCTTCAACCCGACTCCCCTTCACCAGGTGGAGGTGCGGCGGCCGAAGCTACCATTTGTGAAGAGGGCGTTTTTCCCCAACCGGTGGGAGCGGCTGTTCGTGGAGGAGTCGGAGCAGCAGGAGGAGGACTTCCGCCACCCCTACATCCAACACGTGAGCCCCGCCTCTCTCCACCATGTACCACTCTCCTCTTTGCTCGCCTCTCACTCACCTCAGAGTCTCTTTAAGTCACCTTCAAGTCACGTCTAAGCCACCTAAGGCCTTCAGTCTCTTTTGTGGGTTTCCTCAGCTCTGTTTCATTTCTTCCCCTCTCTTTCCTGGCCCTTGTCCCCCCATTTTCCGCAGGTGGAGCGCATACAGGGAGCAGAGCGCATGTTGGTGCAGAGAGTGCGGAGTGGGGAGGTGGTCACACAGGAGGACGTGGCACTCATGCTGCCCGAGGTAATGCATTGACGTTTTGAGACGTCTCAAAGCTAGGACGTGGCACTCATGCTCCCTGTTGTGATGCATTGAACTCGCGCTTCAATGCGGTTGTGCTTGTCGGGGAGGGGTTGCTGTGGCATGGAGTAGGAGCAGAGGGCAGTCATTGGTGGGATGGGATGGGATGGATATCACTGCATTGCAATGCATGCTGTTGCTTCAGTGTGCGCGCACGTGTGCGTATGCGTGTGTTGTGTCTGTGTCTTTGTGTCTGTGTCTATGTGTCTGTGTCTCATCATCATCTAGCCAATCGCCTGTCCCATTCCCCTCCCTCTCCTGTCCCCCCTCCCTCTCCTGTCTCTCCTCCCTCTCGCCTCGTTCTCTGTGGAAACCTGCGGTATCGAGGCAGCCTGCAGATGCAGCTCTGGTGGATCTAGCTGCGGCAGAGGAGGAGCTTAAGGTACGGACGCAATACAGTGCCCTTGTGAACAATGCACGGCAGAATGTCCACACCAGCTTCAGCAGTTCACATAGTTCAGCGTGTTGGTGCCTGAAATTTCCACATGGCAACATGCATGTGACTTCCTGATTCTCCTCCGCCTTCCTCCAATCCAGCTGAGCATGTCCTCGTGATTTCCACCCTGTCTAAGTACACCAACATAGTACACCTCAACATAGTACACCTCTCATCACATGGCAATCTTTCTCCTCCGCCTCCCGCTGCCGCCTCCCCTGTGTCTCCCACACCCCTGTGTCTCCCACACCAGTGGGACGAAGAGGAGGCGGCAGCAGTAGCGCGGGGAGAGGTGGTGGACGCACCTCCATCGCGCCATGACGTGCTACGGGCGTCCCTGGCAGCCGTGCATCAGCAGCGCCTGCAGGCTGAGCAAGACGCCGTCACCCGCGACCGCGCCGCGTGAGCATTTGGGAGGGGAGGGATGTGGAAGAATGGGCAATGGGGTGGGTATAGTAGTGGGTGCACCTCAGTCTGGAACAGACAGTAAGGTGTATGCTGTTCATTTGCTGAGTCCAGTGGGAATGGCAGTTGGACAGTCAAAAGGGAGAGGAGGTGGGGTTGGTTCCTCCTCGAAATTCCTGCGCCACTCTCACTCTCAACTGCTTCCAACCACTTCCAACCACCCTGTTCTTCCCCTGTTAACTCCACGCCCTTGTTTCTTACACTTTCGCAACCCCTCAAACCTGGCAGGCGCACGGAGGTTGGGTTGCCGATCTACGAGCCGGGGAGGGAGAAGCTGGTGCGGCAAATAGGTGGCGGCAAGGAGGAGTGGTGGCGCTACATGTCATTCCTCTACACCGCGGTGGACCTCGCTCTCTTCCCCAACGGCATTCCCGATGAGACCGCCGCCAGGCAAGCAGCAGACGAAGCTCTCATTGAGGCTGTTGTTGGCTCTGCTGCACCCTCCTCCTCACCCTCGTCCGCTGCACCCTCTGCTGGTTCTTTGGGAAGTGATGGCGGTGCAGGCGACCTTTGAGGTGGTTTAAGGCTGATGGAGGTGGGGATGCCCGTTTGTGGTCGCAAAAGCGGTTCAGGAGGAGGTGCCTGCGTGCCGGCCCACTGGTGCGAGTGCTACTGGAAGCTACTGGAGGGTGTGTTGCGTCTAGAACTTGAGATTTCTGTGTGCAGCAGTGTCATGCCTGTATGATGGACTGGAACGCTTCTTGCCGTCACACCCCTTGTGGAACAAATGACGTGTGAACTATACAACTACTGTAAACCTCACGAAGCACAATCTTCTTTTATAACAGCTTCACACATCTGTGTGTGCCTGTGGTAGCACCTCAGCACTGTCCGATTGGTATAAATAGCACCAATTCGCACCACCGCTTGATGGATAAGAGTACAGCAGCAGCACTGCTGTTTAGGGTGCAGGAAATGGCATGGCAGTTTCAGATGCTGACATAGAGTCTGCACTGCGGGAATACTGGATAATATCTACTATGCTTTTGCTGTACCTGATAGCATGGCTGTTGTGCCTACTGTAACTGCTCTTGTCACAGCACAGCAGCAGCATTGTGAGCTGTTTGCATTCTGTTGCTCATACTTAGGCCACTGATAAGCCGCATCTACACTTGCAGTTTCCTCAGTCCCTGTCATGTTGCGCAAACCGCTCCCTGCTCTGTCTCCTCACCAGCTGCGCGTTACAGGTGCATGTACCCTCACCACTGTCACTTGTTATTGAGGGATAATTGCCTGTCACTTGCACCCTATCAGTGTGTGCTTGCTTCTCATGCCAGCTGCACCTCACTGTCACTCGGGGCCGCGAACAAGTCCTCATGGTACCGCTCGGCATACCACCATCAGGCAAGGCATCATGCCATGCACAGCACCTGCAGGAGGGCTCTCTGTCCTGCTTTCGGTTTTTGTGTTCGGGTCGGGTGCCTTCTAGGCTGCCTGCCCGCCCTGCGCACCTACGGTACTCTACATCATTCAGATCCCATCCCACCACCGCACAGCACAACTCCTAACCACAGCACATCTACCTAAGAAGAGCTAAGCACATGTAAGCAAAAAGAACCCCTGCACATCACCACCACACCACAGCCACATCACCAGCGAGATGGCAATCGCACATGGAAAAAAAGGAGCTGCCACTTAAAAGCTGCAAAAGAGCATATCAACAGTAGTGAAGCTGCTGAAAAGACAGAAAATATTTGTGAGTCGTGTTCATGTCAAATGGGCATTGTGAAGGAAGCACTGAGCGGGAAATGTCTAATAGCAAAGCCAGCAACCCCCTCCCCCCCCACCCCTCCCCCCTTGAGGATTCTCACACAGAATTTGTAGGAATGCTGTTGCCGCCACTGCTTCCCCCCCAGCTGTTGGCATAGACAGGAATGGGTCACAGAGAGGGGCCAAAGACAAGGGCAGCATATTCAAGGTGAGAACCGGAAAAGATGGGACACAGAAAGAGGGGAGGACGAGCAACATAAGGAGAAGGATGGAGGGAGACAAGCAAGCCACCAAAGTCTAGACAACAACGCAAGGCTTATTGAACAACCAACAATTGGAGGGAACTCGTAAGAATGAGGATAAGATCTCCTCACCCCTCCAGTGCCGCAGCCACAATCACTGCAGCGGCCATTGATGCTGCAACTCCTGCTCTCACCACTGCTGCTGCTGCTGCTGCTGCCACCGCTGCTGCACATACTTCTGCTGCTGGAGAAAAGTGTTATTCTCTTCTGGTGATGGAAGAGAGGAAGGATAGCAGAGAAGAGGAGAGGCGGGAAAGAAGGGGACTGAGAGCTGAGTTAAGAAGCATGCGTTTCTGGCGACACGGTACAGTAGCGAAGACATTTGGGTACCATGGAAAGATGGTACAACAGACACATAAACACTTCTTTATCTTCTCTGCTGCTGCATCTTGACTCACCGTTACCTCTTGTATCGGAAATGCAAGACACCCAGGGCTTGGAAGCTGAGCCACCAACGGAAGCCCTGCCCATGCCGTTCCCCTCCGCCTCACAGGCAGCCTTCCAAAGAGCTATCTGCCAGAGGCGTGAGCAAGGAGAGGAGAAGCGAGTGTGCAAGAGGGTGAGGATGTGAAAGAGCGCCGACAGGACAGAAGAGATGGCAGAGGAAGCTGGAGAAGGGACTGAGCAAAAACGCAACTGATGGTGCATTCGCCCTGCTGCCGCATCTTGTCTCTGGGTTACCTCTTGTACTGGATGGACAAAAGCAGAGCTTGTTCTTCCAGGCGATGAGCAGGCAGCCTTCCAAAGAGCAATCTGTCACACACTCAAGGGCTTGCAGGCGGACAGGCACACTCCCACTCACAAGGAAGGCCCGTCCATCCCCCCTCCACTCCATGCCATTCCCCTCCGCCTCGCAGGCCGTCAGGCACACACACGCACACGCACGGGGAGAGAGACAGCCGCACAGAAGTGGTGCAGCAAGGGAGGGTTAGAAGAAGCAGCAGGAGGCGAGTGGCGAGGCCAGGGCAACAGACACGACTCTTGCCTCTGCGCGGCGACACCCTACGACTCACTTCACTGCCCCCCCGCAAGCACCCACCCCCTGGCACGTACCATGCTCCGTCCCCGGTCTGCCACTACTGCGCCACGCCTTCACTTGAGGCGTGCTGCTCCAGGCTGCCTCTCGTGCGAGCCAGCAATGGCAGCCCCGTCCATTCCCCGTCCACTCGCTGCCACTCCCGTCCGCCTCGCAGGCCGTGAGGTACACGCACGCACACGCATGGGGAGAGAGACAGCCACACAGAAGTGGTGCAGCAAAGGAGGATTAGAAGAAGAAGCAGCAGGAGACGAGTGGCGGAGGCAAGGGCGACAGACACGACTGTTGCCTCTGCGCGGCGACACCCTACGACTCACTTCACTGCCCCTCCGCAAGCACCCCCTGGCACGTACCACCTGCGTGCGCCGCTGTGCCGCTGCTGCGCCGCGCTTTTACTTGGGCCCACCCCACCCCACCCCACCCCACCCCACACAGCGGCGTGCTGCTGGGCGTGCTCTTGGTTGATGGGTTGGTGCTGCTGCTGCCATTGCTGTCGTGGCGACCATCAGCGCGTGGCTGCAGAGAAGAGGAGGGTACAGGGGAGGAGGGGGTTGGGAGCTGACAAGAGAGGCATCAACACATGGCAGCACAGCTGCAAAGACTCAAGGGCTCCACGGAAAAATGGTAGACAAGAGAGCAGGAGAACAGAAAGCAGGAACACGGTGAAAAGTGAAGTGTTAACTGCTTGGCCTGATCCACTCACATCATGCTGTGTGCTCGCCATGACGCTCCAGACACTGCGGCCACTGATGATCCCTGAGTTGCTGCGGCCCCTTTGAGTGCTGGAGGTGAGGGGAGAAGGGATGGCCAAGAAGAGGAAGAGAGGCATGAGGATGTGAAAGAGCAGATGCTAGCTGGAGAAGGGACTAGGACAAAAAGCAACGCACAGTGCATTCGCCCTGCTATGCATCTTCACTCCAAGTTACCTTTTGCCTTGGAAGAAATAGAATTCTGTTGTCCCTACCGAAAGGCAGGCAGGTTCACATAGTGATCCGCCACACTCCAGAGCTTGTAGGCTGTAAGGAACACTCACTGTCACCCACCCACCCAAGGGGATTCAGCCCCCTTCTCTCTCACTCCCACCCAAGGGGATTCAGCCCCCTTCTCTCTCACTCAACCACCCAGCCCATCCCCACCTTCACCAACCAGCAGTAGGAGCAGCAGAGAGCCCACTTCCTCAAGGAAACAGCAAACCCAGAGGCTGTGACTTGCGGGGTGAAGTGAGGTAGCGGAAAATTGCTTCCAGCCCAAGACTCAAATCCCACCCCTGACGTAGCTGGAGCTGACGCGAACCAGAGCCGCCGGCCGGTCGGCTCTGACGGTGTCCATTAAGCATTGAACGCCAGATCGGGAACCTGAGCACCGAGTGCCGTGCCGCGCAGATTCCACCCACCACGCCCCATCCACAAGGCACAACACCAGAGGATGCTGCCCCTAAGGCAGTGAACTCCCCGCTTGCTCCCATGCTCCCCACCCACCCTCCCCACACTCTTCACCCCCATGCCCTTACATGTACCTACCACAGCCGTGCAGAGCGCCATGATGCTGAGGCTGCTGGGAAGTGGAAGGAGAAGGGGGGATTAGGGGAGGGAGAGAAGGGAGGGTGCTGCTGGGAGGGAAGGGAGAAGGGAGAGAGGGGAGGTGAGAGAGATGGTGGACTCCACTCTCCCGCCCTTGCTCCAGTGCTCCCACCTTCAGCCTGCAGGGAGAAGAGGGGGGGTGAGAGAGGAGGGGATCAGCTTACCATACCTCACCTGCAACCATACCACACCTGTTACCATACCTTACCTTGTACCATACCTCGCGCGCAGCCACATCTAGCCTAGCCTGCCCCCCCCCCCCCCACTGCTGCTACTGCCGCTTCTGCTGCTGCTAATGCTGCTGCCGGTCTGCTACTCTGCTTCCCCTGCAGCTGCCGCTGCCCATCCCCTCCCCTCCCCTCCGCTGCTGCCTGCCCTGCTGCTGCCGTCCTGCTGCCCCCTGCTGCCCTGTTACAGCCTTCAATGTACTGGGTGGGAGGGGAGAGGGTGGGAGGAAGGGAAGCAAGGGACAGCAGTGAGAATGTGGAGAGGAGAAGAGCAGGCGGAAGCGAAAAGGCAGGAGGGAGCAAAAAAGGGAAGTGAGCATTGGGAGAAGACCAAGCAGCAGCAAGACCAAGAATGAGGGGGAGAAGACCAAACAGCAGTAGAAGGTACGAGGGAAAAGAGGCTCACCTTGTTCCAGACGACCCAATCCCGATACTCTCCCATCCCATCCCAGCGAGTGGAGTGCTGCCCGCTTCCCCTCGCACCACTGCCACCTGCATGGCCACAAGGGGAGGGGTGCGGAGGAGTGGCAGTGTTGACCCGCACACCCCTCCCCTCCACCTGCAAGGCAAACACGCAGAGCTGGTCAGTAAGCAGGCAGGGAAGGACGGGAAATATGGAAACAGCAAGCAGAGCAATAGCAAGTGCAAGGGGAGAGGGC